CAGAAGTAGGATTGCCCAACCTTCCTTCCGAGGAGTGGCTGGTGGGTTTGCTGGTTAGCAGGCAAGTGTCTTAGCCACTATGCTACCAGAGCTCCCACTTCATAGGTAGCACCTAGTAAAGGGTTTATCACAATAAAGGTTTGATATAACCTATTTTCCATCTACCTGTTCTCACAGCACAGGGTCACTGTGATAGATGTGAAAAAAAAAAAAAAAAAGATCAGATATCAAAGAGAGTGAGGTCAGCTGTTTCCTCAAACAGGGTTTCATAGGGTATCAGAGTTGTGTTGGGGTCCTCACTGTCTGGGTTTGGTTTTCAGGTCTTCAGGTCTGAAAAGCTGACATATCACAGAACATCTACAATTAATTGGCTTCTTGGGGAGGAACCAGTGTTAACGAAATACCTGGGAAATTTATGAATAGCTCAGAATGCAAATTCATTTACTTCCAGTACTTCCCATAACTCCCATTTCAGTCTTATATATTTATTGTAAAATAGAATAATCTGAAAGTTAATTGAGCACAGAATCTGAGCTAAGAGAATTAAATCATCTTTAGAAATATTCCATCCAGAGTGTGAGAATAGTCTGATGTTTTCATAGTCAAGGACCCCTCTCTAGTAGCCTAAACCTTATGTCTTCCAGATGTATACTCAGTGTTGGAGACCCAACCAAAAAAAAACCAAACTCACTGCCATGGAGTCAGATCTGAATCATAGTGACCCCTCCTTGGGTTTCCGAGGCAGTACCACTATAGAAGTAGATTGTCCAATCTTCCTTCCGAGGAGCGGCTGGTGGGTTTGAATCTCCAGCCTTCTGGTTAGCAGTCAAGTGCCTTAGGCACTACACCACAGAGCTCCTAGAATCTATGTGAACTACTCCTTTTTGTTAACATATTAATCTCTGCCAGGATATAATACAATTGATCGGGTTAGAATTGTCTTTGGTTACATTCTACTATTGAGGAAACACCCTACCATCTTTGATTGAATGTAGGCATTTCCCACATTTATACTAGCATTCTTACCTCTTACTCTACAGATATCTGATATTAACTAATTTAACTTCCAGATTTTCTCCATTTTCCGGAGGCATTTCATCATAGACCTCTTCGTATTAGTGTCAATTTTCTGTATGTCAATACCCGATAGATAGCATGTAATTAATAAATGTCCACTGAATAAAGGTAAGGATAAAGAAAAATCATGAAAGACTCAGGGACTAGAATTGAAGTCTATTCTTTTCTCTGTAGCATTTCTACCTTCTGTCCCTATGGATGAAAATGGATGGGACACAGAACTCCCAGGAACTGGAAGCAGGGTGGAGGGAACAGAAGAGCTTTCAGGAAAGATTGTTATGGAAGGTGCGTGGAGGATGTACGCGAGGGTAGTGCCTACAGGCAAAATTACCTGTCAGGGGCTGTTGCTTAAGTCTAAGGAAGAGATGATGTGGCAGACAAGGGGATCCTGGAGAAAGAGATGCCAAGGGAGTAACTGTGGAATTAAGGGCAGAGTAGACTAGGTTTCCAGTTTAGGTACCTGAGGGGTTGTTAGTGCAATTCAGTGAAAAAAGGGCAAAGAGAGAAGGGTGGGGGCTGTCTGGATGAGTGCTATTTGGGTAGGTAGAGCTTGAGCTACAATACTTGCTGAGACAAACAGGTATTCAGTGAGCTGTTAGGCGTAGGGTCTGAGCTTCTAAAACAAATTTGGACGTTAGTTGAAAGCATGGAAGTGGGAAAGACTTCCCGAAGAGTGAAGAATAGTGAGGGAAGCAAAAGTAGAGCCTAGCTGGACAAACGCTTTTAGGTATGAACAGAATAAGTAAAGTCGGAGAGGTAAGAGGAAAACCCGGAGCGAGACATTTTGAAAGCCAAGCAAGTTTAAAGACGGTATCGGACGCCTCCTGGAGGTCAAGAGAAAGGTAACAAATCAATTCCAGCCTTTGGTTATTAAACCAGATTCGGAGAAGCGGAGGCGGGTGAGGGTGGGGGTAGGGCAAAGCTCCAGGGCAGCCAGGGACTGAATCGAGGACATAGTAGAATTTCAAGAAGTTTGTGACACGCCAGAAGGGGGCGGGATGGGACTTGGAAGATAATTTAGGGCTCAAGGTATAATCGGATTCAGAATCTTGTCCCCTTGAGTGGGAGTAACTGTTAGTATTTGCTTGAGGCCCTCCGCAGCCGTTTTCTGTCCTTCCTGGGATTTCCCTGCTTTAAACTACAGAAGAACTTCTAAAATGCCGGTCACTAAAAAAGGAAAAGGAGCTCTGGTGTTTTAGTGGATAAGGCCTTTGGCTGCTAACCAGGTCAGAGGTTCAAACCAGCCACTCCACCGAAGGAAGATGGGGCAATCTATTTCCAATTAACTTAATGGCAGTGCGTTTTTAAAAAAGAAAAAGCGTTCTGTTTGAACATGGTCTCTCCTTAAAAATTCTGGCATGCAAATAAGAGGCTTTAATGTGGCTCCAAGTGATTGGTAGGTACTCACGAATCCGTCCTTTCTCTGTAGTGCAGAATGCAAACGAAGAGTCTGTTTTCAGCTTTCCCATTGGCTGTCTGATCCGGTACCCTTTCAGCCAATCAAACTACTTCCCTTCACCCCCTTCGGGTAGCGCTTATAAATCACATCAAATTGGTTATTCTTTCCACAGCTTCTTCTTGAAGCGGAGGTTGTTATCTGTATTTCTATCCGTAATGTCAGGACGCGGAAAGCAGGGAGGTAAGGCACGCGCCAAGGCCAAGTCGCGCTCGTCCCGCGCTGGCCTTCAGTTCCCGGTGGGTCGAGTCCACCGCCTGCTCCGCAAAGGCAACTATGCTGAGCGTGTGGGGGCCGGCGCACCAGTGTACCTGGCGGCGGTGCTCGAGTACCTGACGGCGGAAATCCTGGAGCTGGCAGGCAACGCAGCACGAGACAACAAGAAGACGCGCATCATTCCTCGCCATTTGCAGCTGGCGGTGAGAAATGACGAAGAGCTCAACAAGTTACTGGGGGGTGTCACCATCGCCCAGGGCGGCGTCTTGCCAAATATCCAGGCTGTCTTGTTGCCTAAGAAAACGGAGAGTCACAAACCTGGCAAAAATAAATAAAAGCCTCGGTACTTACTGTCTATACCCCTTTTTAACCCTAAAGGCTCTTTTAAGAGCCACTAAAGTGTCAAATGAAAGGCTTACCACTGAATAGCGCAATAGCTCTTTTCTTTGAAAACTTGGGTGGCTCTAAAAAGAGCCTGTTCTCTTTGGCTTAGTTTTGTCAGTTTTTGGCTTAGTTTTGTCAGTTTATTTGCTTTTGGCTTTGTGGCTTTCAGTTTTCTTTGGCAATAAAACAGCCTGGATATTGGGCAAAACCCCACCCTGCGCAATGGTGACTTTGCCCAACAGCTTGTTCAGCTCCTCGTCGTTACGAATGGCCAATTGGAGATGACGAGGAATGATGCGGGTCTTCTTGTTGTCTCGTGCTGCGTTGCCTGCCAGCTCCAGGATTTCCGCCGTCAGGTACTCGAGCACAGCCGCCATGTAGACTGGAGCGCCAGCCCCTACCCGCTCGGCATAGTTGCCTTTACGGAGCAGGCGGTGGACTCGGCCCACCGGGAACTGAAGGCCAGCGCGGGACGAGCGCGACTTAGCCTTGGCGCGTGCCTTGCCTCCTTGCTTTCCGCGTCCTGACATTTCTAACACCGAGAATATGCAAAAAGACTCAGAATCAGGCAACAAAATAACCTTAAGTAGCAACAATGAGAAAGCTTTTATAAGCTTTTCTAGGGGTGGAGTCAGGAACGAGGTTTTCATTGGTCTTAAATTGGCTCCGGAAACAGCCAATAAGATCAAGAGTCGTCGTTGTTACGTAACTATTACTGACAACGCAAAGTGTCTGTCTGGACCAGTGGAAAGGAGAGACTTTTGGAGCCCTAATTTGCATAAGGTGGTTATAAAATGATCAGGCCCGCCCATTCTCACAGTTTTCTGTGTTTAGCGGCTCTGTGTTGTGTTTTACAATGCCTGAGCCAGCCAAATCCGCTCCCGCTCCCAAAAAGGGCTCCAAGAAAGCTGTTACCAAGGCCCAGAAGAAGGACGGTAAGAAGCGCAAGCGCAGCCGTAAGGAGAGCTACTCTATCTACGTGTACAAGGTGCTGAAGCAGGTCCATCCCGACACTGGCATCTCGTCCAAAGCCATGGGCATCATGAACTCCTTCGTGAATGACATCTTCGAGCGCATCGCTGGTGAAGCGTCCCGCTTGGCGCATTACAACAAGCGCTCGACCATCACTTCGCGGGAGATCCAGACGGCTGTGCGCCTGTTGCTGCCGGGGGAGCTGGCCAAGCACGCGGTGTCCGAGGGCACCAAGGCCGTCACCAAGTATACCAGTTCCAAGTGAGTCCCTTGTCGGGACTCGGCACTCACGAGTCGTCGGCCTCTTTGCTCCAAAGGCTCTTTTCAGAGCCACCCATCTAATCACAAGAAAAGAGCTTTATTCACTTGCCCCTTCACATCCTTGCCACAAAGTAAGTTACTGTAGTTCTGTAAAAATCATAGACAAATGGGACATGTACTTTTTTGTGTGACTCGAGGGTCCTGCTGCGTGACTGATTGTTTTTGAATCTAGGATGTGTTTTTATCTCTTACTACATCGCTTTTTTTTCTAGAAGTCGGTCGCTGTTTGCTTATTTGCCGCCTTCTCTTTTCCCTCCGTAGTGTCTAGGGGGCTTTGTTGGGGGATATGTAATAGGTGTTTAAAAACGAAGTGATTCCGGCCGGTCCTCTTGAAAATGACCCCAGGATACAAGCCTGCCCCCCGTGAACACTGCGTGACGGCCCTGTCCATCTGAACAATACTCCCCGAGAGCTTGGGAGCAGCTTGCGTGTACGGCCACTAGTTCTGCCCTGCAATGTGGCGGTTTGCGGATGCCAGCGTTTTCTGTGTACTGAGGGCGGAGCCCGCGGGTGAGCTTCCCAGCTTTGCCCTGATTGGACCCAAGAATATTCAAAATTTTGCTGTCCTGGAATTGGTAGACTCAAGTTTGCGCCGCTTTCTTTGGAGTTTTGAAATCCAAATTATTTCCGTGATTTGTGGATCATATTTGCGCTTGATGTTCTCTGTGCCCGGAACGCTGCGTCTCCTGGTCACTGCAACCCAGGTACTTATCATTTAGGTTTGGGCTCAAAGTCACCTCGCAGCAGCCATGTGAAATCGTCTGGTTCGTTTGTTTTCTTTTGTGTGTGGTCTTTCCCTCCAACCATCTTTCAAGCCCTTGAAAACACAGACTTTGCTGACCTACTTCTCCATTATATCTTCAGCGTCAATCAGTGCTTGGCACATGATAACTCAAATACTTGTTGAATAAATATTTGTTGAATAAATTTCCCATCCCACCTCTTAATCGCTTCCTTGGATGCCAGGGTGAGGTTCATTTCCATTAGATGTATCTGGAGGCATGATAAGAATGGGATGTTTTTGGCGTTCCTTCCCCAAGACAGTTTTGTCCCCTCTGCAACAGCTGGGAAAGCCCTGTATTAAGATTCTTTTTGCCCCCAAAGGAGATGTGACAATTGTAGGTTCTCACTTTATACTTACCAGGTTAGGTTAACCTCATTTCATAAAATTCAGAGTATTGGTCACTGGAAAGCAAAATTAGACTTTCTCCTTTTCTCCCCCTATGCTCCAATCCTGATTCTGTTCTCCACTGAGATGAGCTTTTGAGTACATGATCTCATCTGCTTTTCAGGAGACCTATGACTGACTGCAGGGTTATTATCCTTATTACAGATGAGACAGAGAAGTTAAGTGATTGGTCCCCTTTATATCATTAGATACGAGGACAATTGCATTTTAGTTTTATTTTGTGAAATTAAAAGATGTTGACTCTTTCCAAACCTTGATTTTGCTGAAGACTGATGGTTATTCAACTTTGCTTTTGACTAAGGAGTTCTGGTAGCATAGTGGCTAAGACACTTGCCTGCTAACCAGACGGCTGGCGGTTCAAACCCACCAGCCACTCCTCGGAAGGAAGGTTGGGCAATCCTACTTCCGTAGTGATACTGCCTCGGAAACCCAAGGAGGGGTCGCTATGAGTCGGGGCCGACTCGACGGCACATAACAACAACAACAACAACAAGGAGTTCTGGAGTTCATTGCAAGAATTTCAGGAATCCAAATTGATTCCAGACATTATAGCTGATAAATCCTATGTCTCCTTTATCTGTGTTTTCAAATGTGTTGTAGGTGTTACTATTATTAATAAAGTTACTAATTAATGTAAAAGCTTTGCTGGATTATTTTATCTGCAATGTATTTTCTCAAGAAATGAAATTAACAGGTACAGTCACCTCTGGGCCTGTGAGAAAACTACGTTCCTTTGATGTGAACGATGAATGAAACATCAAACGAAGTCCTCTAGGGCTAAAATAGCCTCTTAAGAGGTCACTTTTGGGAGCTCTGGTAGCATAGTGCCTAAGGCACGTGATTGCTAACCAGAAGGCTGGCAGTTCAAACCCAGCAGCCACTCTTCAGAAGGAAGTTTGGGCAGTCTACTTCCGTAGTGATACTGCCTCAGTAACCCAAGGAGGGGTCGCTATGAGTCGGGTCCGACTCAATGGCACATAACAACATCAACAACGAGAGATCACTCTTAATGCTTAAAACAGACAAAAAGCAGTTGCCATGGAGGCCATTCTGACTCTTCCCAGCTCATGGCAACCGCATGTGTTTCAGTAGAGAGCTGTGCTGCATGGGGTCCTCATAGCTGTGACTTTTGGAAAGCAGATAGCTGGGACTTTCTTCCAAGGTGCCTCTGGATGGCTTCAAACCTTTTAATTAGTGGCCGAGTGCTTAACCATTTGAAATCCTCAAGGGCTCCTTCTTAATGCTTAGTTACGGAAAAATACATGACAACAGATAATCATTATGATCAAGCTGGGGAATAAAGTCTGTAAGAAAGCTTAGCTTCAGTAGATCATAACATCTGCAGAGCACTTACTACGTGCCAAGCAGTGTTCTAAGCCCTTTACACATATTGACTCATTCCATTTAATCCTCAGAGGAACCTTACGAAAGGAGCCCTGGTGGTGCAGTGGTTAAGTGATCGGCTGCTATCCAAAAGTTTGGCAGTTTGAACCCGCTGGGAGTTCTGCGGGAGAAAGATGTGGCAGTCTGCTTCTGTGAAGATTACATTCTTGGAAACCCTATGGGCCAATTCTACTCTGTCCTATTGGGTTGCTATGAGTTGAATTAGACTCCATGGCAATGGGTTTGTTTGTTTTGGGAAACTCATGAAGCTTGTGTATGTATGCTCCTGCTTTATGAAGTAAGTATTATTATTATTCCCCATTTTACAGCTGAGGAAACTGAGGCAGAAAGAGGCCTTTTCTCAGAAACTCTTCAGAGAAAAAGCTCCTAGTTTAGTGTTTAAGGAACTTGAGAAAGTAGGGTCACTCTCTGAAAGCCTAGACCTCTCCCTGAATTTTTTTTTTTTTTTTCAAATAACTGTAATTTTGAATTAAAAGGAAACATCACCTGCTTTATTAGCTGTAGAATACACTTGGGATATTAACCCTTTGAAGACCAAATTATTTTCTGCTTTGAATTTTTTGTTGAAACCATGTGTTCAGTAATGGAAGGCATTTTGAATGAAATCTAAAAACAATATTTTTGAGGTAATATAGATTTTGATACAATTAGTGGGTTACATATGCCCTGAGGGGTCTCTGGTGCTGGGGTTGGTGTAATGAGGCCCATTTCTTTAGAGTCACACAGTTATATGGGCCCTCACCAGATGGCAACATGCACTAAAAATGGGATAGCAACTGCCCACTAAACCCCAGAAATTGAAAATGTTGGTGGGCACTATATGTTCCATGGGGCATAAAAGAGTTAACTGGAAGAGGAAAGTGGATTGGTGATTAAGGGATATTTTACTGGTCTGAAAGCCTTGAGAGTGGGATTGGGTTTGGTTCTGCATTCCAGAGGCCATTGTTGTTGTTGTTGTTATGTGACATGAGTCAGACCGACTCATAGTGACCCCTCCTTGGGTTTCCAAGACAGTATCACTACAGAAGTAGATTGCCTAACCTTCCTTCTGAGGATGGCTGGTGGGTTTGAACCCCCAGCCTTCTGGTAAGCAGTCAAGTGCCTTAGGCACTGTGCTACCAGAGGCCATAGCTGAACTTAATTTAGCTTGTCCCACAGCAGAGGGGGTGCTTTCCAGCTGGTATCCCTTCATTAATGTGAGAGAGCTTTAGTTGCTAGTTACTAGCCTCTCTTGGGCATGATGTTCACTAAGAAGGAAGTTGCAGAGTGAGGAATGGGTGTTGGTCTTTTAATTGGGTAATGAGGTATTCGATCATGATAGTGAGATTAATCTTCCTAAAGGACTTCTTGGGAGCTCTGGTAGCATGGTGCCTAAGGCACTTGACTGCTAACCAGGAGGCTGTCAGTTCAAACCCACTAGCCACTGCTCGGAAGGAAGGTTGGGCAATCTACTTCCATAGTGATACTGCCTTGGAAACCCAAGGAAGCTATGAGTTGGGTCCTACTCGATGGCACATAACAACAACAAAGGACTTCTTTGATCGTTTCTTTCTCCTGTTCAAACTTTACTTGCTCCCCATTTGTTTATATTGGGGTTAATAATAATGACAATCATTATTATAATAATAATTGCTACCACTTATAGAAGAGCTCTGATGGTACAGTGCCTAAGGCATTTGACTCCTAACCAGAAGGTTGGCAGTTCAAACCCACCAGCCCACTCCATGGAAGGAAGATGGGGCAACCTACTTCTGTAAAGATTTACTCCCTCAGAAATCTAACAGGAGTAGCTATGAGTCGGAATCAACTCGATGGCACTTGAGTTTGGTTTTCTGTTTTTGGTTTACCACTTATTGAACCCATAAATATTGTCAAAGAAAAAAATTGCACTGAACAATGTTAAAACTGTCAAGTATGACTTTATTCTAAAGTATTATTATTTTCATTGTCCCTACTACTTTCCAAGATGTCACCTTGAGGACTAAGGTGTGCTTGATGCAAGCTATGGTATTTTGTGTGTGTGTGTGTGAACGTAATTTTTTTTTTAAATGTTACTGTAATTTGGGTGAAAGTTTACAGAGCAAATTCATCTTCCATGCAGCAGTTCACATATGCTTTGTCTCCTGACATTGACTGTAATCTCCAACAATGCAACAGCTCTCCTCCCACTTCTTCCCCATGGTCACCTCTTCCCTGTGTCCTTTCCTCCCATGCACTCCTGCCCCCTGAGCTGTCTCCTCATGAATATACAGCCCTTCTATTCTCTCACGATTGATCTCTCCAAGGAGTGTATCTACCTAATGTAAATGTTCAGCTGGAAGCCACCAGAGTGGGTTCAATTCCAGACCTGAAGGG